CCATCACTTCCATCATCACCACCGCCATCATCACTACTTCCTCATATCCGAGGTCATTCTTTTTCACTACGGGGTCCCTGGGAAGTCCCGACCCTTTCCCAGGGACCGGGTGTTCGTCCTGCATCGTTTTGTCGACGGTCCCGGGGCCCAGCGAGGGCCTCCCGAAGCCGAGAAGATGGAGGCACACCTCTGTCCAGACTTTTTTATATACGACGCGATCCTGTCTGTGACATCGTCACTTCCAGATCCCCGACGTCATGATTTTTTCATGACGTCGACCCCCAGAGGTCTGGACCCATTCCCCAGCACCGGTTTTTCGTCCTGATTCTTTTTTTGACGGTCCCGAGGGCCGGTGAGGGCCCCCAGAGGCCAAAAATCATGAAGAGCCTCCCGTCGTGATTTTTTCATGACTCGAGGGGGTCTGGGCTTCCTGGTGGAGGAGCCCCTCTTCCTGTCCCCCGCCGGGGATGGCGCCCTCGGGGAGCTGCTGACCGCCCTCTGCGACGAGGCCGCCCTCGCCGCGGCGGCCGCCGCCCGCGGCGCCGGCGCAGCCGCCGGCCCGGGGGCCGCCGCCGCGCCGCTGGCGGCCGCTTCGTGGCTGCCGGTGCTCGGCAGGATCGAAACGGTCGGGGCATCAGGGACGGGGTCCAGAGACCCTCGGGTCATAAAAAAAATCGCGACGGGAGGTTTTTCGCTATTTTCGGCCTCCAGGGGCCCTCGCCGGGCCTCGGGGCCGTCAGGAAACAACTCGGCGTGAGAAACTGGTCCTAGGGAATGGGTCAGGACCTCTGGGGCTCGACGTTGCGAAAAAATCATGGCGTCGGGGGTCTGCGGGGTGTCGGTGCCAGCGGGGGGTCAGCCGGGGCGCCGGGTCTTGCAGGCTCCCTGTGAGCCGGCCGACGCTCCAACAAGAATTGGAGCGGCGGGTTTGGGGCCGTTCTCCGCCTCCTGCAGGGGCCCTCGCCGGGCCTCGGCGGGGCCGTCCAAGAACGACCCAGGACGAAAAGCTGGCCTTATAGGAGATGTGGTCCAGGCTTCCGGGGCCCACGCGCCGACAAAACTGGAGCGGCCGGATGTCTGGGAGGGACGGGGGTCAATACAAACGGGGGTCAGTCAGATCGCCGGAGCTTGCAAGATCCTGCAGATCCAGGGCTAAGGCGAAGGATCCCGCAGGATTCCGCAGGATCATGCAGTACCCTGCAAAGCACGACTGACCCGGGTTTGGATTGACCTGGGTCAGTGGATTGCCGAAGCAGGTACGGAAGGTCGGGCGTGTGGGTGGTATAACGAGGGGTGGCCCAAAATGGGGGGGGAAGGCTGCTCACCCAGACCTCCTCCCTGACCTAAACGGGGGCGGGGGGGGATGCTCCGGTAAGACGAAGCCTGGACGAGGATAACATCGGGTGCGAATAAGTCGAGAATCTCTGAGATCCGGTGGTTATGGAGGATGTCTCGGGCGCCGCGGCCTCATCAGAGCGTTCCGGAACGTTCTGGAACAGATTTATCTTTGTCTTTGGCGGGTGGTAGTGGGGAGTGATCTACATGGGGGGTGAAGAGAAAGGTCCTTCCGGGCACCTTTGGGAGGCAGGGGCCCAGAAGGAACCGAAAGGGCCCCTCTAGGGCCTTTCTCTCCGCCCCCCAATTTATGCCACCCCCCACCTCCGCCCCCCAATTTATGCCCCCCCCCCCCCACTGCCACCCGCCCGGGAAGGGATGGTCGCCATGAGGGCAACGGGTCCTGGGGGAAACGGGTCCTTTTGTTTAACCGTTTTCGGGCTCTCGAGGCCCTCCACGGGTCCCGGGACTGCCAGCAGCTCGGGAGGAAGATCTCGTCTTGGGTGAAGTCCTCCGGGCCCAGGACCCGCTTCCCTCGGGACCGGGTGCCCACCTGGTAGGGATGGGCACGCAGCCCGGCAGAGCTATGGTTCATTTTGGGCAGGATTCGCTTTCGGTGTCGCCGCGGACGTACAGTAGGGGTCTTGAAGAAGGAGCCCTTTTCGTTGGGGAGGGGCTCCGTGTTCCTTGATTGTTTCACAGCTTGCCTCAGGTTTTCCTCATGTTTTCGACGGGAAATCGAAGTTTAACTTGTGGAAGAAAGGGGCCTCGTTGCTTAGTTAGGGTTCCTTAGGTCAACGCCCCGACTGTAGTCTATTCGAGGCAGAGCGTCGCCTGCCCAGCAGCCGCCGCTGTCGGTTTTGGACAGCATGTGCTGTTGGGCACCGCAGGGGGTGCTCCGGCGCCTGCGCGGCGGGATGGCGGCGTCGGCAGAGGTTGGCCGGGCCTCTGATTCCCGACGGCCGACGGCGGTTTTCCCAGACGGGTTCGCGGGTTGCGGCTTCCCTCCGTGGAGGGCGGGCCGCTCATCAACTAGAAAGATGGTCATCGTCATCGTACACGTGTTCTGTCCCAAGGCAGGCGATGTCAGGATCTATTTGGTCGATGCGGGGTTGTCGCAATGCCGGCCCTTTCCCTGGGGCGGGTCTTGCGTCGCGAGTCGTTTCTTGACAGCCCTGGGGCCCTGTGAGGGCCCCCAGAGGCCGACAACGGCGAAACACCGCCGCTCTGAATTTTCCCAGACTTTGTCATGTCTGGGTGTCCATTTCTCGGCGGCGAGCGAGGGGGAAAGTGAGAAGGACCAGGCCTTGTCAGAAGGTGGCGGGGCCTCTCAGAAGCCCCAAGGGCCTTCTGAGAAGTTGTCCATGCCTACGGGGACGGCCTCGAAACCTTTGCAGAAGGCCCGAGGCTCTCCGAGTCTGCTGTGAGCCCAGACATCCGGCCGCTCCCATGTTTTCGATGCGTGGGGCCCCGAGGCCTGGAACACCTCCCCAGGGCCAGCTTTTCGTCCTGAGTCGTTCTTGGACGGTCCCGAGGCCCGGCGAGGGCCCCCGGAGGCCGAAAGCGGCCAAGACCCGGCCGCTCCAATTTGTGTTGGAGCGTCGGCCCTTTGAGAAGGCCCGACCCCTCTCACTCCCCCCCCGCCGGGGGGGCACCGCCGAGCCTCGGCTGGGGGACGGGTTGCCCCCCCCCAACCCTCTGCGGCAGCTCACGGGGGCCTCCCACCCAATCAGATGCGGGCCGGGCTCTTGCGGGCCGACGTTGCATCGACGTGGCATCGATGTTGCATCGACGCTGCATCGACGTGATCGACCTTGTCGGCGCCGATCGACGTTGCATCGACGCTCGCATCGGCGCTGCATCGGCGCTGCGATTGACGTTGCATCACACCGACGTTGCATCGACGTTGCATCACACTCGACGTTGCATCGACGTTGCATCGACGTTGCATCGACGCTGCATCTACACTGTCGACGCTGATCGACGCTGCATCGACGCTGCATCGACGCCAGAGTGCGCCAGCGCCTGCGTCTGCCTGGGAGCGTCGGGCCGGGCGAAAGGGGGGGATTGGGAAAGGGGGGGTTACGAAATTTGCTGCATGCAGCTGGTTTCGGCCTCACCGAGGTGCCCATTCCTCGATACATGGCCGCCTCCGGCGCGGGAGGCGCCGGGAAAATCAGCTACGTGAGCTGATTCTCAAACCCCCCCTTTGCTATCCCCCCCTTTCGCCCGACCCGAGAGCGGAGCCTGGAAGGCCAGCCCGAGGACATCGACGCGGCACCGACGCGACTCCACGCCAGAACGGCGCGGCCTCCTCGACCGCCAGGCGCCCTCGCGCGCCGGAGCACCCGCAAGACGGCATGTTGCGAGGCCACACCAGGCTCTCACATCGGAGGAGTCACAAAGGCGATGCGAGGACGAAGTTCCCCCTCCTCCTCCTCCTCCTCGTCCTCCTCGTCGTCCTCCTCCTCCTCCTCGTCGTCCTCCTCCTCCTCCTCCTCCTCCTCCTCCTCCTCCTCCTCCTCCTCCTCCTCCCCCTCCTCCTCCTCCTCCTCCTCCTCCTCCTCCTCCTCCTCCTCCTCCTCCTCCTCCTCCTCCGCCCAAGCCGAAGCCCCCCCCCGGGGCGCGCCGCCGAACTTCGAACGTCCCAGACCCGGACGTCCGCCGACGTGTGATTTTGCCCATCCGCGGCCCTGGAGGCCCCGATCCCTTCCCTCTGGGGGGGGCCTCTCGTCCCGCGGATCCATTTTGGATGGTCCCGCGGGGGGGGGGCGCGGCGCTCGGCTGGCGCTCGGCGCCGCTCGGTGTGCAGCGGCCGCGGCAGCGGAGGTTTCGGCACCCCTGGGCGGCCTGTGCGCCTGGAGGGCGCACAGGCTGGCGCTGCGCGGACGGTGCCTGGCGCTCCGCGGGGCCCCGGGGGCCCCAGGCCGCCTGCCTGAGAAACACTTCGCGGCAGGGGCGGGGCGGGCCCCGGAGGCCGAAGCATCGATGAAGCACCGCCGGGCTGACAAAGTCACACAGTCAGCCCGCATGGTAAGGATGGGCCACCTTCCCAAGGGTAGCCTTGCAACTTTGCCTCCTCGGTCCATCCTTGGCTACTTCCGTTGGCCGCGCCCCGCTCGAAAAGCTCCGAAATGAGCGCCCAAGGCCCATGCATCCTTACCCAGACCCCCGACGTCTTGATTTTTTCACAACGTCGACCCCCAGAGGTCTGGACCCTTTCCCCAGGACCGGCTTTCATCCCGAGTCGTTTTTTGACGGCCTCGAGGCCCGGGAAGGGCCCCGGGAGGTCGAACATAGCGAAACACTTTGTGTCGTGACTTTGTGTCGTGGCCTGGGCATCGCGCATCCTTCTGGTGCGGGCCCACCGTATCCTCGCAGGCCTATGGCCGATCCTGCCGACGAGCAGGCGCAGTCATCGCTGTCGTCGTCGTCGTCGTCGTCGTCGTCGTCGTCGTCGTCGTCGTCGTCGCCGTCGCCGTCGCCGTCGCCGTCGCCGTCGCCGTCGCCCTCCTCCTCCTCCTCCTCCTCCTTCTCCTCCTCTCCCACCTCCTCCTCCTCCTCCTCCTCCTCCTCCTCCTCCTCCTCCTCCTCCTCCTCCTCCTCCTCCTCCTCCTCCTCCTCCTCCTCCTCCTCCTCCTCCGTCGCCGTTGTCGTGGCTCGAGGTGCCCTGGCGCCTCACGCTGGTGGTCGTGCGCGCGCGGCTCGCGGAGCCGGGCTCCTGGGGCTGCCGGGCCCTCGGCGAGCTGCGGGGGGACCGGGCGCGTTGGGCCTCGGGTGCTCGGGAGCAACTTGCAGGGGGAGGGGGAGGCATATGGGCCCGAGGCGGGGGGGAGAGGCGGAGGAGGAGGAGGAGGAGGAGGTGGAGAAGGAGGAGGAGGAGGAGGAGGAGGAGGCTCGAGGGGGCACCGCACCCAGGCCTCCCCTGCGATCCTGGCGCTGCAGTTTTTCCACAGCGGGCGTCTTCGCTCCATTCTGGGCCCCGGGACCCTCACAGATCGATCTGGCTCGACAAATGACGCAGCAAGATGGGGTCCGGGGCTCTGGGCGTGGTCTCTTGCGATGTTGTGCTGTGTGTTTTTGGCAATGTCGGATCTCAGGGTCCGAGGATGTAATTTTTTCAACCCGCTACGGCGCACTGACCTGGGCTACGGCGCAGGATCCTGCAGGATCCCACAGGATCCTGAAAAGCACGACTGACCTGGGCTTGGATTGACCCGGGTCAGTGGATTGCCGAAGTGGGTGCGGAAGGTCGGGCGGGTGGGTGGTATGACGAGGGGTGGCCCAAAATGGGGGGGACGCTGCTCACCCAGACCTCCGAGGATGTGATTTCCTGAGGCCGGCGGTGTTTCATCGATGTCGGCCTTCGGGGCCCGTCCTGGGGCCCCGCGGGGCCACCAAGCAGGGATCTGCAGGAGGGAAAGCCACACCCGGGGAAGGGGTCGGGGCCTCTGGGGCCGCGGATGGACTAAGATTAGATTGGCGCATGTTTGGGACAGGGGGGGATGGGGTCGAGGGGGGCTGGATGGGCTCGGGGGGGGATCGTCTCGAGGGGGCGACGACAGGGGGGATGGGGTCGAGGGGGGGACGGATGGGATCTAGGAGGGATAGAGGCTCGAAGGGGGGCAACGACAAGGGGGACGGGGTCGAGGGGGGTGACAGGCTCGATGGGTATCGACCGGGGGGGATAGGATCGAAGGGGGGGATCGGCTCGAGGGGGCAACCCAGACATGCTCGCGTTCTGAACAACAAATCAGGACGGGCGGCTTACGCCGACCCCCTACAAGGAGCGAGTGTTTGAGACGATCGTGGACGTTGTATCTTGGGTCTGGAGCCTCCTGTATGAATCCTTAAGGTTTTTTGGGATGCCTCTCTGGGGCCTCTTAGCATATCTTGGGGCATGTGGGAGGCCTTTTGGGGGCCTCGTGAGGGCCTCTGGGGGCTCGAGCGGCCATCTCGGTGGGAAAGGCTCAAAATGTCAGTTCGGATTCTCCCTCTCGGGCTCCTAGGGTGCCCCTGGGGGCTGTCTTTGGGCCCGCTTGGGCCGTCTTGGGGCCTTCGTGAAGGAATCATGGGCCGTCTTGGGACGATCTTGGGGGCCACTTGGGCCGTCGTGTTCGCTGTCCAATCGTACAATGCGAATGTGCTGAACATGTGCGTTTTTTCCTTAGGGAATGGGACGATTTTGACCTCGTGGGGCCCTCTCGGCGATCGCCTGGAGGCGCTTTGGGGCTGTCTTGGGGGCCTCGTGAGCAATTGTCAACCCATCTTGGATCGTCGTGGGGCTACCCTGGGCAGTCATGACGCTCTTTCTGACTGGCTTGGCGCGCTCTGTCTGACCCTTTTTGGGCTGCCTTGCCGCTTTGGGGGGGCTCCCCCCGGGATGGTTGGCGAGCTCGTCCCCCCCCCCCTCTCCTCCACGCCCCCCCCCCCGCCTCCCCCTCGAATCGGATTTGGGACCCTGGGGGAGGGGGACAGGGAGGGGGGGACAGCCAAATGTCTCACACGCCATCCACCCCTGGTAATCGGGGGTGGGCGTATTTTCGGCCTCTGGATGCCCTCGCCGGGCCCCAGGACAGTGAGACAACGACTCAGGATGAAAAAACTGGTTCCGGGGAACGGGTCGGGACTTCGGGCGACCCCGTAGTGGACAAATCTGGGCATGATATTTTTTGGAGCGATAGGGGGATGGGGCCGAGGGGGCCAAGTGCTTCGAGGTTGCAGGTTCTCGGGCCATCTCATTTCGTCGGCTCTCGTGGGGCTTTCGGGCCTCGGGGTGCCTTCGGGCGGCCGCGCCTCGCCGGGAGCGTCTCCAGGGTGCCCGGATCGTCCCGAACGGCCGCCCGAGAGCCGAGTGTTATGACCTGGAAGCCAGGGTCGGGGGCAACGTGAGGGAGGAGGAGGAGGAGGAGGAGGAGGAGGAGAAGGAGGAGGAGGAGGAGGAGGAGGAGGAGGAGGAGGAGCAGGAGGAGGAGGAGGAGGAGCAGGAGGAGGAGGAGGAGGAGGGGAGAGGAGGAGGAGAGAGGAGGAGGAGGAGGGGGGGGGGCTCCGGGGGGACGCATCGCCCTTCCCATCGCCCATTGATCGCCGATGGGGGTCTGCTGGCCGCACTGCGCCCAGGCCCGTGCGGATTCGCCATCGGGGGCCTACCGCAGATCTATCGGCGATGTATCGCCGATTCCAGGTCGATGTTCAGGAGGCGAAAAACACACAAAGACACGATGAATCATCGTCTCCCAGGAAAAGATGGGAAATATGGTGATTCCTGGGATTTGTGTCTATGTATGGGTGTGTCCCTGGGCCTCTTTAGATGCGCCCTCTCCTGAGCCAGTCCCCCCACCCATCGTTGCCCCTCAGGCGCAGAGGGGCTGTGGTCCTTGCTGCGGGAGGACGTCCGGGAGTGCCTGAGCCTGGAGGCCTCGGGGCTCGCGCAGCGGGGGTCCGCGCTGACAGGGGCCAGATCCTGGCGCTGCACATGTTTCGCTGCAGGGCCCTGGGGCCACCATCACGCGTCGATCCTGCTCGAAGCGTGTAGCATAAAGATGGGGTCTGGGGTTCTGGTCGTGTTTTGTCGCGATGCTGCTGTTTTTTCGCAACGTCGGATCTCCGTGGTGAGCCACTCCCCTATGGCTGATCCAGGTTAGGAATCCACGTGCGGCCGATTCCCCCTTTCTTCCCTCCTCTTCCCGGGGTTGAGAGATACCGCGCGGCTGGCCGGGCTCCGCGACAGGGCCCTGGCCGACCCCGCTGTGGGCTGACCCGGCTTGGTGTGTCCCTGGAGGCCCTGGGCAGCATCTACGCGGTCGTGGCCATGAATGCCCACACCATTGGAAGAAGAAAAGCTGGCAGAAACGACAGTTCTCGGAGCTCCGAGCGGAGTTCTTGGATCGGCGCTGGGCTGTAAGGCCTCTGGCGCCGCCCCTGGCGCGCTCCGCGCGCCAGGAAGGGGGTCCAGTGCCGATCCGAGAAGTCCGCGCGGACCTCCGAAGGTTCTGGTCGTGCAGCTCTTTCTTGTCCCTGCCCGTGAGCGATGGCCGCGCGGGCCTCTTCTCGGCGGCGAGCTCGGGAAGGAGGGGAAGTGGGAGGGGGCGGGCCTTCTCAGAAGGCTCAGAAGGCTCTGAAGTCCTCCGGCCTCCGGAGAAGTCTTCTGAGCCTTCCTCTGACGGCACAGAATACTTCCCAGAAGGCCTTGGGGGAGCTTCTGAGAGGCCCCGCCGCCTTCTGAGGAGGCCTTCTCCTTCTCACTCCCCAGACATCCAGCTGCTCCATTTTTCCGATGCGTGGGCCCCGGACGTCCGGACCACTTCCCAGGGGCCGGTTTTTCGTCCCGAGTCGTTTTTTCATGCTCACGACGCCCAGCGAGGGCTCCTGGAGGCCCAAAACTGCCCAAATCCCACCGCTACAGTTTTTTTGGAGCGTCGGATCTCTGGGTCGCCCCCTCGCTCGCCGCCGATCTTCCACATGTGCAGCCTCGCGGAGCACAACTGCGCGCCCAACTCCTTCAAGGAGGCCTTCCTGCCGTCCTCTGGGCCGGCGGGCCAGCCGAGGTCGGCCGCGGGCCCCGTGGGGGGGGCCCAACTGGTGCTCCGCGCGCAGCGCGACCTCGCCGAGGGCGACCCAGTGCGCATCTCCTACGTTCCGGACTGCCTCCCCTCCCCCCTCGTCGTCCTCCCGCGCTCCCCCTCCTCCACGGCCTCCACCCTCCTGCCCCCCATCCCCCCTGTGCCCCTCCCTTCCCCCTTCCGGTTCCCTCCTCCTCCTCCTCCTCCTCCTCCTCCTGCTGCTGCTGCTGCTGCTGCTGCTGCTGCTGCTCCTGGTGCTGCCCCTCCTCCTTCTCCTCCCCCTTCTCCCCCGCTTCGCGTCCTCCTCTCACTGTCCCCTCTCTCTCTCTCTCTCTCCCTCTCTCTCTCTCTCTCCCTCTCTCTACTTGCTTCCCCTCCTGCTGCGACTCTTCCTTCCCCGCTCTTGTTCACAAGGCCTATAGGCCACTCCGCCGCCCCCCGGATCAGGAGACGTGCGGCCTCCGATGTCGTACATTGCATGCTGCGTGCCGCATCCCGTCGTGCGGCCTGCGGGTGGCTTCCGGCGCGCCTCTTGGAGGCCTCGGGGACGGGCCTCTTGCTGGCCCTTGTCAGGGCACCCGTATGCTTTTGAGGCCCTCTGAGGGCTTCCTGGGGATCTCTTGTGGGCATCTTGGGGATCTCTTGGGGGGTTCTTGAGGTTCTGAGGACTTCCTTCCTGGGGATCTCTTGGGGGCATCTTGAGGAACTCGTATGCGTCTTTGGGTGCCGTCTTGTGGGGGAGGGCTGTCCGGCTCCTCTTGGGGCCCTCGGGAGGAGAGGGCCTTTTTGACAGTCATGGGGGCCTGCTGGGCAGTCTTGGGGCCCTCCTCGGCCAGCTCTGGACCCTGTTTTGGGGGCCTCTCAGGCCGTCTTGGGCCAGTCTGGGGGTCTTCTCAGATCGTCTCGTGACCCGAAGCACCGACATGACGAGAACGCGAAACTCATTGAACGAACCTTGAAGGTACATGTATGATTTGGGCATCCTGCGGCCGTCATGTGGGTCCTCTTTGGCCCTCTCAGGGCGTCTCCTAGGCCCCCTAGGCCGCCTTGAGGCAATCTCGGATGTTCTCGAGGCCTCACTGGCACGTTGGAGCCCTTCTTCAAACCATCCTCGAGGGCATCTTTGGACATCTTGGAGGCCGCTGCGGGCGGATTCGGAGGCTCCGAGGGCCAGGCGGGTGCGCCAGGGAGAGCCTGCCCCCCCCCCCCCTCCCCCTTTTGCGGGAGTCTGGGCTCCGGAGGGCAGCTGGAACGGCGGATGGGGGAGAGCCAAATGTCTCCCACGCCTCTTGCACCCCCGGCAAGCGGGGGTTCGGCGGGCTCCCCCTCCTTTGCCTTCTGCTGCTGCTGCTCCTCCTCCCCTCCTCCTCCTCCTCCTCCTCCTTCTCCTGGTCCTGTCGATCCTCCTTCCTCCTCCTCCTTATTCTCCCGATCCCTTCCTCTTCCTCCTCCTCTTCTCCTCCTCCTTCTCCTGCTCCTGCTGCTGGACTCCTGTCGATCCTCCTTCCTCCTCCTCTTCCTTCTTCTCCCGATCCCTTCCTTCTGCTTACTCTGCTGCTCTCGTCCTCCTCCTCCTCCGCCTCCTCCTCGTCCTCCTTCTCCCTCCCACCCCCCCGTCCTGCCCTTCCCCCTCCCCCCTCCTCTCCTCCTCCTCCTCCTGCGCCACTCGCTCTCCCCCGCCCCCCCTCTCCCCCGCCCCCCCCCCCCCCCCCCTTCTGCGCCGCAGGAGTACCTCCCGACGTGGAGGCGGCGGGGGCTGCTGCAGGCGGGCTACGGCTTCCTGTGCGGCTGCGACCGCTGCCGCTGGGAGCCCGAGGCCGCCTGTGCCTACCTGTGCCCGAGGCGGCAAGGGGCAGCGGGAACGTTGCCCTCTTCTTGCGCCCTCCACCTACTCCTGCTCGTCCTGCTCCTCTGCCTCCTCTTCCTCCTCCTCCTCCTCCTCCTCCTCCTCCTCCTCCTCCTCCTCCTCTCCTCCTCCTCTCTCCTCCTCCTCCTCCTCCTCCTCCTCCTCCTCCTCCTCGTCCTCCTCGTCCTCCTCGTCCTCCTCGTCCTCCTCCTCCTCCTCCTCCTCCTCCTCCTCCTCCTCCTCCTCCTCCTCCTCCTGAGGCTCATTGGGACCCGCAGGATCGTGCCCCGCAGGACCCGCAGGCTCATTGAGCCCCACCGCAGTGAGGCTGCAGCTGGCAGCCCTGCGGAACTCCTCGACGTAAAGGGCAACGCCTGGACTGGTAAGCTCGCCAGGCATGCTGCACCGACAAGTAACGTGCGTGAGCCTGACCTCCTGTCTTACCGCGAGGGTCTTGCATGTTCTGAAAGTGTGGCAAACGCCATGCTTGACGTGCTCGAGTTGTGGCCAACCTCGAAAGACATCTTCGGGAAACTGGAAGGCGTGCCTTAGTTGCCCACGGCACCCGCAGATCTGCCGACCCCATACTACTATATGGGATGATGGTGCCGTGCGGTGTCTGTCCTGCCATCGGCGCGGCGGGACCACCTTGAGATCGTCGCAATGCTTCAACTTGCCTCCATCATTTTATCAAGTGGTTGAGGCCACCAGGGACAATCGATACAATCATGCTTCATGGTGCTCCACAATAGTTGGCACAGACGTCCCCGCACTGTTGTGTGTGAAATGCGGACATCACGCAGTAGGCTAATAGGCGAATTCAACCTCAGTGCCAATTTCAAGACACGAGCGATCGAAGGAAGCTCAGACGAGGAGAATTCCCAGAGGGCTCAAAGCAGCGTTTGAACTCCCCCTGGCCAGTGGGAGTACTGTGTGTGACCCAATCGCGAGCCGGCCGGGCCATCCACGAAGAGATGCAGTCTTGGATGCTTTTAGGATAGTGGGGAGGTGATTTTCTCTGCCAGGCTGTAGGGTTGGTCAACGACCTACCTGCGGGACGCGACGTGCGACGTGCGACGAAGAGGCGGAGGAGGTGGAGGAGGAGGAGGAGGAGGAGGAGGAGGAGGAGGAGGAGGAGCAGGAGGAGGGGAGGAAAATAAGGGGGAGGAGGGAGGAGGATGGGGGCGGGGGAGGAGGAGGAGAGGAGGAGGAGGAGGAGGAGGAGGAGGAGGAGGAGGAGGGAAGGAGGACGAGAGGTAGGAGAGGAGGGAGGAGGAGGAGGAGGAGAGGGAGGAGGAGGGGGAGGAGAGGAGGAGGAGGAGGGGGAGGAGGAGGAGGAGGAGGAGGAGGAGCTGCAGGAGGAGGAGGAGGAGGGCGCGTGTGGGGGCGGGGACTTGGTGCTGCGAGCCTCGCTGGCGCCGTGGCGTCGACAGCCGCCCCCCCCTGCGAGGTGCGGGGACGGCCCCTGTAGCCCCTCGGCTCAGGTGGCTGCCGCTGGCGAGCTGCGGGGCCACTCGCTCGGCTGCGAGGCGCCGCCTCGTCATCCTCGTCCTCGCCGCTCTCCTTCGCCGCCGCCGCCGCCGCCGCCGCCGCCGCCGCCGCCGCCGCCTCCTCCTCCTCCTCCTCCTCCTCCTCCTCCTCCTCCTCCTCCTCGCCTCCTCCTCCTCCTCCTCCTCCTCCTCCTCCTCCTCCTCCTTCTCCTTCTCCTCCTCCTCCTCCTCCCTCCTCCTCCCCCTCCTTCCTCTCCTCCTCCTCCTCCTCCTCCTCCTCCTCCCTCCTCCTCCTCCTCCTCCTCCTCCCCTTCCTCCTCCTCCTCCTCCTCCTCTCCTCCTCCTCCTCCTCCTCCTCCTGGGAACATGGGACGGGAGGGGATGTTCCTTGCGAGCACTACTAATCTTCAGTTCACTCTGGTCCTCCTCCTCCTCCTCCTTCTCCCCCCCTCCTCCTCCTCCTCCTCCTCCCTCTCGTCCTCCTCCCTCCTCGTCCTCGTCCTCATCGCCGGCGTCCTGCGGCGTCGCCTCCGTCCTGCTTGTCGCCGCCTCGCCTTCCTCGTGTCCGTCCTGGGCGAGCCTGCCGTCCTCTCTTCCTCGTCCCCTCTCCCTCCTCGGTCTCCACGTTGCCCTGCTCCTTGCTCCCCCTCTCTTCTCCTGGTTACGGTCGGACCGAGGATAAGATCGAGGTCGGTTCGGGGAGAGCGTCCTACAAGCTCCTTCCTTCGTGCTTGTTGGATGTTCTCGTGCATCTTGGGGGAGGGTACCCTCGCATGTTCTCCAGTTTGGCCGGCGGAGAGTCTCGTGTTCTTGAAGGATGTTATTCTGTCCTAGGTTTGGCCGTATTCCTCCTCGTCCTGCTCCTCAGGCTCCCCCTCGTTCTCCTCTCTCCGCGGCTGTCCTCCTCCTCTTCTTCCTCGCATATGTTTAATCGCTTTGCTCATGTCGCGGGCCCACCCAGCGTGGCTGGGTCGTGGACAAGAGGCCCATTTGGGAGGCTTCTTGGAGTCTGTCGGAAGGCCTCTCGGAGCGATTTGTGCAAGCTCTTGGAGCCTCTTCGGGCCTCTTTGGAGGGTGTTCGGGGCCGTCTGGGGGCCTTTTGGGACAGTCTTGTCGGGAAGGGAGCCTTGTTGTGAGCATTTGAGCCCTCCACTGGGCATCTTAGAGGGCCTCTCTTGGAGGCCTGTTGAGCCATATTCGGGGGCCGCCTCGGCCGTCTTGGGGGCCCTCGTGGGCACTGGCGGCCCTCTTGGGAGCTTCTGTGTTGCAATCGGAGGCGCCCCTGGTGTCGCCACTCTCGCACTCCCCCGGGCCATCACGATCGGGCGACTGGGCCTCCCGGCCCTGCAGGCCCCAAAACGGGCCCCAAGTCGCTTCACGACTGCCTCCAAGAGGCTCCGCCACATTGGGTCGACATCCTCACTCAGCAGGCTGCGCTGGGCCAGCGGGGGGGGGGGCAGGGAGTCTGCACAGGTTTCGTGCAAGGCCCCAGGCTACCTGCCTCTCGCCTACAGGCACCCCAGTGGCTGGGAGCTTCTTGGGCTGTCTTGGGGCGGTCTTGGAGGCCTCTTGGGCCGTCTCGGGCGGTCGGAAGCGAGAAAAGACGGAAGCGCTGAAATCCAAGTCACACCTTTGTGGAATTTGTGATGCTTGCCTCTTGGGCTCCTCCCGGAGCCCCCCCTGGAGCCCTCTTTGGCGTCTTGGACGTCTCTGGGGCCAGCAGGGGTCCCCCCCTTGGGCCGTCTTGAGGCCGTCTCGACCCGCCTTCGAGCACTCCTGGCACGAGGTCGCGGGGCCTGCCGCCCAGTTGGGGGGCCCGGGTGAAGCTTTCCGGCACGGCGCCCGGGACGACACCACGCTCGAGCCGTGTCGGCCGGGATACTTTTTTTGTTTTCGTCCGGGGGCCCCCGGCGGCTGCCCCGCGCGCGCGAAGTAGGTCTCTGGAGCTCTTACCCGATACTTTAGCACGCCTCTGGCCCGCTGGGCCAGCGAATCATCCCGCCTTCTCCTTCGAAGAAGTAAAACGCCACACGCATAGACTTTTGGCGTCCCGCGCGGATTTCTTGGATCCGCGCCTGGGACGAAACGGTGATGAAAGCCACTATGTTCGATAGGGTTGCAATTTTCCAGCGTTGCATGAATGAGTTTTTGGGGTACTGGCACAGGGGGGCCAGACGCGGACCAATGATCCGCGCGGAGCGCCAAACATTTATGTTTACGGCGTTTTGTCTTCTTCTACTTGTACTCCTCGACCGAGGCCTGCGGTGCCGTAACAACAGAGGAGGAGTGCTTGGAAGAGCGCAGCGCGGCGGAGCTCAGCGAGGTCGTCTCGGCAGAGTCGATGCGCGTGCTGCACCCCTTCCACCACAAGGTCGTCGGGATGTACCTCGGCAGGCTCAAGGACCTACCCGCCGCCGCGCGGGTCCAGATAGCAGAGCAGCTCATGGAGGCGCAGTGCCGCCTCAGCAAGAGCGAGAGCCACCCACTGCTGGGCAAGCTGGCCGAGCTGGCTGCGCGGGCGCACCTGGAGCTCGGCGACGCGGGCGCGGCTGCCGCAGGACATCTTTTTGTTTGTTTGTTTGTTTGTTTTTCCCCCCCCGGCGCTGGCGGGCGCGACCAGGGGGGAGCAGAGGGGGGGAGGGGGCCCGGCGCCGCCTGGGAATGTTAACAGGACGGACGGATCATTCCCGCACGGCGCCAGCGCGACTCGTGACGTGACCAGGGGAGGGGCGGGGGGGAGGAGGTGGCGGGGTCGGGGCGGGTCAGGGAGGGCAGCCGTCGCGACTGCCGCAAAGCCGAGCTCGAGGCTTCCGCGATGCGGAGGCGCTCTTCGCCCTGTCCCACCGCGGCCCCCCCGACCTCGGCCACGCTGAGCGCTGCGGCCGGCAGCGGGTGGCGGCCGCCAGCGCCGCCGCGGGGCGCCCTCCCGAGCGCTCTCTGCCGGAGGGCGCCGCGGCGGAGGCGCCGTGAGCCGCAGGCCTCGCCCTCGCGCGGGCCCTGCAGCGCGGTTGGGTGGCCAAGTCGTGGGAGCTGCCTCGTCGTTCCGCCTCCAGGGTGTGCTGGCGTTGACGAGCGCCTGGTAGTCGATGAGATGGCGCCGACTTGGTGTATTTATAGGTATGTATACATACATACATGATATATATATATATATATATATATATATATAGAGATATAGATAGATGCATCGCCCTCCTCTATGTAGCGTCGATCCAGCGTGGGTTATAGCGTCGATCTGGCGCCGACGGGCGTCGGCTCGCAAGAGCCGGCAGGATGGTCTGGCAGGCTCCCGTGGGCTGCCGCAGCAGCGCGGCCTCCGCCTGCGCCCCCGTGGCCCGTGCCGTTGGCGAGCACGCTGCGGGCGGCGCTGGCGATTGACCTGCCGGCGGCGCCCCCGGGGGCGCTCAACACCCTGGCGCCTCCAGCGGCACCCTCCCCGCCCCAGGGCGAGGTAGTGAGACCGCCCCAGACCTATGGGAGGAGGAAGGGTGCCCATGGCTCATGTCTGATTCCTCGAAGGTTGTCTGGCTTTCTGGGGCGCCAAGATCCTTTCACTTCTACCTGTTCTACCCTGGGCCTCTTCCTGGCCACTAGGGGGCCAGGAACAAGCAGAAACGAGCACAATCAGAAATGAGTACGATTAGAAATGAACTACGTTTACCCATACTGCTACCCTTGCCTGGCCTTACCCCTTGCTGAGCCTAGCCGTGTCGGTACCTTTTGGTTGCCCCGGGTTGGTCGTGGGGCCCGCTGGGGACCCCTCGGTGGGCCTGGCGAAGCCAGCCAGGTCTGCCTGGGGGGCTGGCTGTGCGCCGGCGGCAGGACTGGGGATGAGAGGGGGCTCGTAGCTCGACTAGATGTAAGAGTGACCTTTCGCAGGAGTGACCTTTGGTGCGGGCCCAGTGGGGCCCCCCGATCGCCGCACGCGATGCGATGGTAGCGCCTTGCGCGCCTGTGCTTGGTCCCCCCGCGGCCCCCAATGAACCGCGCACCAAAGGTCATCCTTACCCAGGGTCTCTCTTGCGTGTAGTCGAGCGTCTGGCCCAGGCGATCGTGCAGGTGCCGCTGGAGTGGGATCGTCCTCCAACTTGCTTCGTGTCAGTACACGCGTAGCCTGGAGCGGCGACGGCGTTGCTCATTCCCCTGCCGCCCCAGAGCACACAGGTCGGGAACACTTCTACCCGCTCTTACTTGTCCTGTGCTTGTGTGCAGCTGTGCGGCACACGCGAATATTTTGAAGTTGCGCTCCGCAGAGTGTTCAGAATACACGCAAGCCACATCTTAGGGATGCTATACAAAGTCAGTTTGTTCTTGTTGTTGTTTCGTGTGTATGTTGGCTGGGCTGATGTGCCATAGCCAGCATGTTGATGGATCCCCATGTGCTCGCTGCCTCATGTATAGCGGACAGCGCGGCGGACGCGAACCAGCGAGGGCTCGAGTGTAAAAACAACTATTGAGCAAACTGTTGGTATGCAGCTTGGTTGGAATGTGCACCTTTTGCAGCTTCTGGTCCAGGTGGAGGCGCTTCGTCACATGCAGGCTCGCGTACTCGTCATGTTTCAGTTGTGGCTGCTGCTTTCGGCGCTTTTGTCATGGGGGGCGAGCGATGAGGACGCGGAGAAGGAGGAGGAGGAGGAGGAGGAGGAGAAGCAGGAGGAGGAGGAGGAGGAGGAGGATGGCGATGGGACATTTGCGAGTTCCCCTCGTTTTCGCCTTGGCAGGGAGCTGGGAGTCACAGTGCGGCTGGGGAGCAAGAGCCCGGCCTGGAGGTGGAATTGCTGGTGCACATCGACAGAGGCCCTTGGTGGGGCATCCTTCACATCAGTCGCCTCCTTGACGCCCTCATTTCACCTCCTCGTCCATCTCCTTTTCATGCTTCCCCGTCCACGCACTTGTCGTCCTGTTGTGTCCTTACGTCGTACAGGCACCTACCTGGAGCTCTTTATTGGGGGTCATCGTATCGGCTGGATCAGAAGACCATGGTGACCACACGGCGTGTGTTCGTGATGCCAATTCATGGTGTGACCATGCGGTAAGCAGCCATGGGATGTTATGGTTCTGAGTTACGAGGTGGCCATGGCGTAGCATCAAGGTGCTCATTCGGAGCAGGAGGGCGAGAGAGGACGACATGAGGAGGAGGATGAGGAGGATGAGAAGGAGGAGGAGGATGAGGAGGAGGAGGAGGAGGAGAAGGACAGGGGAGTGATGCCCCACGGAACACCATACATTACAGTCTGGCGAATCATCGATTCAGAAGCCGTTCATGTCTTCCTTGGTACAGGATCCCAGACAACGTGTAGGAGTCCAGGCCAGACGCTTGGCTCCCGGATCTGGCCCTTGCCGCTCAATAGTCGTACGCGGCGGAAGCTGCCCCGCGCGTATTCTGATATGGTTGTTGGAAGGATGCCTGGATATTCTGGCCTGATAGCCTGATAGGTTATGGTCATCACCCCATGGGTCGCGATGAACACAATCTACGGGGTAGTTGTGCGATGGCCATCACGATTGAACTTACGACGAGTTGGTGCTGCAACCGCTATGAGCCTATGGCGTGATCCTGAGCAGGCACTGCACATATGAAGTACTGCCTAGCCTCTGTGCGATGGTGCTACGATGCGATGCAGGGTTTGTGTTCGGCAGTCGGGCATCCTCACGGTCGGCATGCAGGGGCCATGACACAGCGGTGCGGGTGGGTGTTGCCGCGGGAAGGGGAACACGGCTTGTATCGGGCACGTTGGCGCGACAATTGTGAGGTACACATCGATGGTGCAGCTATGACAAAGTCCTCAACCATCTCATGGTCGAGCCGTCCTCTACTGTGAATTCCTCTAGGAGCTTCGAAAAGAGGAGGAGGGTGATCGCGACTAGTGATATCAAGAGTTGGGGCCGTACTGGTGAGGAAGAAGGCGACTGAGGAATGATGAGGACGCGGGCAAGTGGTCGGTCTGAGGAGTGTGATGCGTTATGCGGGGAGGAGGGGAAGGAGTGGAAGGGAGGAGGAGGAGGAGGAGGAGGAGGAGGAGGAGGAGAAGGAGGAGGAAGAGGAGGACGAGGACTAGGATTCTGCTGAATTCTGCTGCATGCGATCGAACATGACCTTTCATGAAATCGTGACGCGGGCCTCCTGGCCGCATCGGGCCGTCCCCGAGCCGAGCCAGAAAACCGTGCCCTCTGAGGGCAAGCCATCAAAGGGGCTTTCACGTGGTGGGATGTGTACCCTTCCAGAGACGATTGATCCTATCACCGATCACCCTTTGGACCCCAGGGCGACACGGGAAAAATACGCCCGACCACCTGTCGCGGGCGTACCTGGCACACCTACGACAGAAAACATGCGTTCGGCAGAACACGAGTTTGTGCCCCGGCTTTGTCGACCCTGACAACCCCCCAGTCCAGAGCGGCCCGAGGTGGGGGGGTGGCCATCAGGGTGTTGGAGGGGGCTCCACGGCCCCTTCGCCCGCACCGCCAGCCGTCCCAGGAGGCCTGGGGGGGTCCAGGAGCTCCAGGGCGGGGTCGGGTGGGTTAGAATCCGTCGGCGGACTCGAGCCCTTCTCACTGTCGACGATATCATTACCTAGTACACCTGCATACGCTGCGAAACGAGGGCGAGGAGGAGGAGGAGGAAGAGGAGGAGGAGGAGGAAGAAGAGGAGGAGGAGGAAGTGGAGGAGGAGGAGGAGGAGAAGGGATAGGAGCAGTAGGAAGGCGAGAATGATGAGGAATACGATCCCGTCTCACTTTTGTTCGTGTCTCATGTTTGCTCATGTGTGCGCGACACGAGCCAAACTCCAGGGCTGTATGCTTGCATCATCGAACTGCGTCTCTAGAGAAAAATAATCATGATATATAAGAGGAGGGTCATGAGGGGGGATGAGGACGAGGAGGTGGACGAGGAGGCGCATTCGGCTCCCACCCCCGCCACCCCCAGCGCGAAGCGCGGTGAGGCATGGGCTTGAAGACCACCGTGAACGTCCAGAGGGGCGCCACTATCCAGGAACGAAGAGGAGGATGCGGACGAGGACGAAGACGAGGAGGAGGTTGTTGGTGTTGGGGACGTGCCCCCAAACCAGGGTGACCCAGGTTCAAACAACCCGGACGCGTCGGAATTCGACCCCCCCCCAAGGGGGGCCGAACGACGAGTCAGCGCCTCCCCTCGAGCCTTGACCCAGGGGAGGTCATCATCGGTCAGACCGACTCAGTCCAGGACCTGCTCTGGCAGGGCGAAAGCCTGGAGGGGAAGGAATCCGCAGGCAGACCCGGGACCCGTGGGGCCAGACGAGGGGCCAGCTGCCCCCTCCCAGCGTCTCGGCCAAGTCCTCCCGCTCGGCGGGGCTGATGCCCCTGAAGGTCCTAAACACCAGGTCCTTCTCGCCTTGCTTCTCAGAAGGGAACTTGCTCAACCGAATTCTGCAAAGTTGGTCGGAGAAGCCCCCAGTGTCCTTCTCGGGTCTGTGGCACTCACTCGCCAAGCCTCGAGGCCGAGCCACCACCCGTGACCGCACCACAGCTGCAACAGAAAGCGAGCGTTCCCTTGGGGCCTCTTTGGGCCGTCAGGACGGGCGCGCCACGGAAAGCGTGTCCGCGGCACCTGGACACAGAACGAGCGTGCTCCTACCACCCGTCCCCCGGGTCCGTCTCCCGCCCGTCCCCTGAGCCGTCAAGATGACGTGCGTCCTCGGCTAGCACTTGGCCAGGGCCCTCGGGTGGGGCCGCGCGGGGCGCCGCCGACCCCGCGGGAAGTCCCGTTGTGTCGCGCACATCCTGGCGC